CTCAAGCCGGAGTTGAAAGTTTTCAAAGGACCGGGAAAGACGGTAGCGGTACGTTACACTATCCAATGCTCACAAAGATGAACTACGCGGTGTGGGCCATAAAAATGCGAGTGAATTTACAAGCACAAGGAGTATGGGATGTAATTAAAAATGCAGAAACGGACGAACGTAAAGATCGGATGGCTCTTGCGGCTATTTATCAAGCAATTCTAGAGGACGTACTTCTGATGTTAGCTGAGAAGGACACAGCTAAAGAAGCATGGGAAACGCTCAAGATGATGCACATGGGAGCCGATCGGGTCAAGGAGGCTAAAGCTCAAACCTTGAGAAGTGACTTGGAGGTGATCCGGATGAAAGACAGTGAATCGGTAGATGATTTTTCCATGAGATTGAATACTATCGTAACCGGTATTCGATCTCTAGGTGAAAAGATTGAAGAAATTACGGTTATGAAGAAGTTTTTGCGAGCCGTACCGATACGATTTATACAAATCGTAACATCAATCGAGCAATTCGGAGATTTGAAGAATATGACGGTGGAAGAAGAGAGACTTCGAAGCTATGGAGAAAAAGAAGAAGGACCTTCTCTATTGCTTACACATGCCGAGTGGGCATCTCGTTCGAAGCAAACTGGCGAGAGAAACTCGTCAAACACTTCAAGAGGACGAGGAGGACATGGTAACCGAGGCCGGGGAGGAGGCCGAGGTCATGGACGTGGCCAAGGAGGTGGTCGCGAGTACAATACAAATCGGAATGACCATAATCCTTCTCGAAAGGATAAAAGTAAAATCAAATGCTTTACTTGTGAACAATTTGGTCATTATGCTTCGGAGTGTCCAAACAAGAATCGAGGTGAGTCTCACTCAAGCCAACGAAGAAGAGCCTATTTTAATGATGGCAACCTCACAAGAATATGAACACAAAAAAGTGTCTCTAAGAGAGAAGATTTGTGTTAATCTTCTTGCATCGGGAGAAAGTCGAGTCGAGTCTGAGGTATGGTATCTCGACAACGGTGCTAGCAATCACATGACTGGAGACCGCTCAAAGTTTCGCGAACTAGATGAGCACGTTACGGGCCATGTGAAATTTGGGGATGGTTCGACCGTCGCTATTTTGGGAAAAGGGTCGATTTTATTCGATAGCAAAAATGGCGACCAAAGACTCCTTAATGAGGTATATTTCATTCCAAGTCTAAAAAACAATATTATTAGTCTTGGACAAATGACGCAGGAAGGGAGTCGGGTCATAATGGATGGGTCGGATCTGACATTGTTTGACAGAAACAAAACTCTACTTTTGAGAGTTAAACGATCCCCAAACCGGTTATATAAAACTCCTTTAAGGACCGGTAGACCGACTTGTCTTTTAGCAACAAAAGACGAACCAGCTTGGATATGACATTCTAGACTCGGTCATGTTAACTTTCTCGCCTTAAAGAAGTTGTCCGAAAAGAATATGGCAATCGGAGTCCCAAAGATTGAGCACCCAAACCAAGTATGTGAAGGGTGCGTTCTTTCCAAACAAACCCGAATTCCTTTCCCGGATCATGCAGTTTTTCGAGCTCAAAAACCTCTACAACTTGTTCATGCGGACTTATGTGGTCCGATCACACCTACGTCTGTTGGAGGGAGTAAATATTTTCTCCTTTTAGTAGACGATTTTATCCGGTGGATGTGGGTTTACATGCTATCAGAGAAGTCTCAAGCCTTGAGCGCTTTCAAACGGTTCAAGTTGATGGTTGAAAAGAATTCGGGTTATCAAATAAAGACACTTCGAACGGACCGAGGGGGAGAGTTCACTTCAAAAGAATTCTCATTATTTTGTGAAGAAAATGGTATTCAAAGGCATCTTACGACACCATATTCGCCTCAACAGAACGGAGTTGTAGAAAGGCGAAATCGGACCGTTATGGACATGGCAAGAAGTCTGCTCAAAGGTAGAAATGTTCCGGGAGAGTTTTGGGGAGAAGCGGTTAGACATGCAGTTTATCTTCTCAACCGCCTGCCAACAAAAGTACTTCCCGACAAGACGCCTTATGAAACGTGGTTTGGCAAAAAGCCCAACCTTGAACATCTAAAAGTTTTTGGTTGTGTTGCTTTTGCTAAACTTGTAGGTGGTCACTTGAAGAAGCTTGATGATCGAAGTAAGAAGAGGGTGTATTTAGGTGTGGAAGATGGAACTAAAGGCAACCGTTTGTTTGATCCACAAGACCGAAAGTTGCGAGTTAGTCGCGATGTTGTTTTTGACGAAAAAGAAGAATGGAATTGGTACAAAAACAAAGAAGAAGAGATGGCGACTCCTAAGACCTTTACCATAATTGAACCACAACCCCAAATACACCTCGAAACACCTCAAAATGACCCCGAAATCAATCCGGAACAACCAAACAGCCCAGGAATCGATGCTATCCATGTTGGACAACCATATGCTGAATTTGACGAGCCTGAACCAGCTCCACATACTACTGTCTCAGCCCCGTTTTCTTCAACCTCGCCCCATATGGAAAGCCCTTCTAGTGAGATTGGGCCAAGGGGATTGCGTCCGTTAACCGATATTTATTCTGAGACCGAAAATGTGTTCCTTGAACCTGGAGAATTGTTGATGATTGCAGCAGATCAACCCTTGAATTTTAAAGAGGCGGTAACCTCTAAGGCATGGCAGGAGGCTATGCAAACAGAGTTGGATGCAATCGAGAAGAACAAGACAAGGCAACTTACCGATTTGCCACCCGGACACAAAGCAATCGGTTTGAAATGGGTGTTTAAAGTGAAGAAAGACAACTTGGGAAAAGTGGTGAAGCATAAAGCTCGACTTGTAGCAAAAGGATTTGTACAAAAGGAAGGAGTCGACTTTGATGAAGTTTTTGCACCGGTAGCACGACTTGACATCGTAAGGCTCATTCTTGCCTTAGCAGCTCAACATGGGTGGGTTGTCCACCATCTCGATGTCAAATCAGCTTTTCTCAATGGAGATCTCAAAGAGGAGGTTTCTGTCACCCAACCAGAAGGATATGTTGATAAAGCAAACAGTCACAAGGTGTTCAAGCTTTATAAAGCTCTTTATGGTCTACGACAAGCTCCTCGAGCTTGGAACATTCGTTTGGATAAAAGCTTAAAAAGGCTTGGTTTTACAAAAAGTTCACAAGACCCAGCTGTTTACAAAAGGAACTCAAAAGACAAAATTCTTATTGTTGGTGTCTATGTTGATGACTTGATCATTACCGGGTCGAACACTAATGATGTTGTCGAATTCAAAGAACAAATGAAGAAAGAATTCGAAATGAGTGACTTGGGATTACTTTCTTACTACCTTGGAATCGAAGTTTCGCAAAAGAAGTGGGGAATATCTTTGCGACAAACGGCTTATGCAAAGAAGATTTTAGAGCAATTTGGGTTGCTGGATTGCAATCCGACAACGTCACCAATGGAACCTAAGTTGAAGGTTAAGAAGGATGAAGATGGTGAAAAAGTTGATCCAACTGAATATAGGCGAGTGGTAGGTTGTTTAAGGTACTTGACTCACACTCGACCAGACCTGTCATTTTCGGTTGGAATTGCAAGTCGTTTCATGGAGGAACCAACCACTTTGCATTTCCAAGTTGTGAAACACATCTTGCGATACGTAAAAGGAACCGTTGATTATGGAATCAACTATGGAAGAGGTCGTGAAATTGAAGATTTGGTTGGTTTTACCGATAGTGATCTTGGAGGTGACCCTGTTGATAGCAAGAGCACAAGTGGAATTATTTTCTATCTGGGAAGGAATGCGATAACTTGGCAATCCCAAAAGCAAAAGACTGTTGCTTTGTCCACGTGTGAAGCCGAGTTCATGGCAGCTACAACAGCAGCATGTCAAGCCATTTGGCTTGCTAATCTCGTGAAGGAGCTCACGGGACATCTTATTATGCCTATCACCTTATATGTCGATAACAAGTCAGCAATCGCATTGATGAAAAATCATGTGTTTCATGGTCGAAGCAAACACATTGACATTCGTTATCACTTCATACGAGAATGTGTTGAACGTGGGCAAATTATAGTGGAATATGTCAACTCGAAGGATCAACGGGCGGACATCTTTACAAAGGCTTTAGCATACGTGAAACATGGTGAAATGCAAAACATGATCGAAGTGACGAATCTCGAGCCAAGTTAGGTTTAAGGGGGAGAATGTGAGTGTAAACCTACTTGGGTGTGAACCTGCCATGAGTAGCTGTACCACCCTTTTTAGTTGACAAATGAATCCCTCCTTTGTTGACAATAAGAACTCAAATGGCAACTTCGTATGTTCACATAATGAACACAATAAATGGTAGCAGTAGTAATTGTAGGCTTGTTTAAGTATAAATAGAGGCTCTAACCTCAGTTGTAAGACACCACAAAACAGAGAGTGTACTGTGTAATACTTAGAGTGAGTATTAGAGGGTTGTTTCTTTTTCTTGTAATATTGAGCGTGTAAGCTCTTCTCTTTTGTTCTAGTTCTGAATAAAAGTGTGTTTCAACCCCAACAGATTTCTGCCACTAATATTTGAGTGGCTTCACCTACTCAACAGTGTGGATGGACCACGATGAGGGAACTTGTTTTTGATGAGTCAGTTCTCTGAAAAATTTGCAAGAAACAGAGCTTCTAATCATAATGGGTTTATAAGGATCATAAACAAAGTCTTGTTCCTTCACAAGGGCCCTATCTTGAAATTTCATCTCCATATACCATACGTATTTCTTGATAGCTTCAATGAAGTTGATCCGTGGTTGTCATTCTTATCAAGAAACGGTGTCAAGGAACTCATTCTTACTAATTCATGTCGACCTTATGAACTCCCTTCTTATGTGTTTTCATGTTTAGAATTAAGAAAGTTGAAATTGGAGAACTGTTTCTTCAAGCAACCACTTGAGTTTTAAAGATTTCTTAATCTTGAATATCTTTATCTCAAGAAAGTTGATTTTGGGGCTAACTTGTCTGGAACTCAAATCTCCTTACCACAGCTAAAGGATCTGTCCATGCATTCGTGCACAAATGTTAGCAATTTCAACATCAAGGCTTTAAAATTGTGCAGTTTGGTTGTCTTAAATTGCCCTGGTGCCATGTTGCTCAGGTTTTTGAATAATCCATCGCTTACTCGACTTGATATACAAGATTTTGTTGAAGGGGAAGTAATAGATTTGGCCAGGGTGTTATGTAACTTGCCCGAGCTTGAAGATTTATCTATTGATAGTAATTCTCTTAAGGTATGATAAGAACTAAATATTTTAATGCTAACCATTTACTCTTCCTCAATTGGAGTATGCACAAGGTGGTGCTTACCTTTTTCATCTAATGTAATTCTCATGAGTTATCAGGTAAGTTAATAATCACTTTCACTTCACAGCTTTTATCTGCAGATAATATTTCAAAGTGCCTTCCACATCTGGTTAATAGTTTAAAGTCTCTGGGGTTGCGGAATTTTAAAGTTTGTGATTTGGATCAACTTCATGGTGCTCTTTGCTTGATTCGGAACTTATTGAATGTAAAACATTTTGGAATAAACTTGAATATGGTAACGTAAAAAGTATATTTATTTTCTCTTATACCATACAAGAAATGGATGCTTAACTCAAGTTAAATTTCTATATTTTTTTCAGGAGCCTCAAGTTGATGTGGAACCAGCTTCAAATCATATGGAAACCCCAAACTGTTTGCAATGTACATTGGATCAGTTGCAGACTGTGGAGATAATATGTTTAGAAGGATCAAAACCGGAACTTCTTTTTATAAAGCTTCTTCTTGCTCATTCCCCATCTCTTAAGGAGATTACCATTACACCTAGTAAATCTTCTCGTGTTCAAAAAAGACTTGACATTGCTAAGGATGTTATGCAGTTCCCTAGAGCCTCACCAAAAGCAAAAATGTTCTACTTGGATCCGGAACCATAATCATGTAAGAATGTTCAACTACATTGCAATTAGCTTCATATTTTCATCCCTAAGTGTGTTTTGTTTCAACTGTTACAAGAATTATGGCATCCTATCCTTCCACAAAGCCCTACTATAATCTTCCGCCTTCAAAATAAAATATTGTATATACTTTTTTAATTCACAACGATTTACGAAAATGTAGACAGATATGTATAACCGAAATCAAGACCTCATCGATGTAAATTTTGAACTTGTAAACACAGAGAAAGAGAATACACTTACAGCTTCATACCAACAAAATGTGAGATCTCTGTAGAACTCTTCTTTAAACACCCACTTATTTCACCTATTTGCTTTGCGACCCTTACATTTTCCTTATTTTCACAAAGAACTTGGTAAAGTTGAGTTGTCATAGCTAAAAGTACTTTCCTTTATACATTTTAAGTCCTTGAAATAAAACAAACACCTATTACAATCCTATAAAATTTGTTTATTGAACTTGATTTTTTGCTTCCGTGTGTGTGTAATATTTGTAAATAGTTGTGAGCATGAGGAAGAAAGAGACTTATGATCTGGCATTTGTGTTATGCAGTAGAGGTTCATGTGCATTGGGGTAGAGAGATGTGCAGTGATCATAGCAAACATCTATGTTGAAGAACAAAGGGAAGTTGATTGGTTGAAACAGAAATAGTAACATATATATATATATATATATATATATATATATATATATATATATATATATATATATATATATATATATATATATATATATATATATATATATATATATATATATATATATATATATATAGTGTAGTTTATTTATATTAGAAAGAACTTCTGATGTGCTTCTAGCTAGGTTGATGGTCTTGACATGGGTTTTGTCATTTTGATGCGTAATGTGAAAAAGACGAATGAAATGTTACTTTGGCAATAAGTTTTGTTAATCCTCACGTCAATTAGCATGTATTAAAGTAATTTGTAACGCACTGAATATATATTGAATGTTAGGGGATAGTTAATTAATGCAATATCAATAACACTTCAGCCAAATCAACATTTTTTTAATAGAAAGACAACTGATTTGAGTATAATGTTTTGAGCAAGTACGATCAAAAAATTTAATTAACCGGATACGACAAATTTTTTAGTCTTTTTGTAGATGAAACTCAGTAACATATAAGACATTTTCTATGAAGTAGATGGCCCATAATTTTTTACATGAGGTCGGTCTTGACATAGGGAAGGAAATCACTCTATCACTAATAGTGATGCCATAACTTATGATCAATTAACCAAGTGGAATGAAGTTGCGAATTAATGTGAAATAATGTTTTTCTTTGGGAACTTGTCGAATTATCAAAGGTTTTTCAACCTGTAGAATGCAAGTAGATTTTTAAGGCCAAATTGGACCCCAACGATTAACACCGATCAACATAAAGCTTGATTGGTCGCTAAAGGGTATCACAAATAGGAGGTTATTTCTTACCAATAAACGTTCTCACCTGTTTCTCAAAACGACTTCCTTAGGATCTTAATGACCTTTGTAGCTAATTTTGATTTAGATCTACATAAACTAAATGTCAAACAATTTTTCATAGCTGAGATTTAAATATATAGGCTACAATATGCTTCATTTCAAAGGTATCTAACATTCGATGAAGTGATGAACTGTAACGACTTCATTAACAACCAATTAGATCAATGTATATACCTCAAGGTCAATTGGAGGAACTTTATCATACTTGTATAATATATAGATTACATTTTCTTTGCAAGTAATCTCATTGATATGTTCATGAATCAAAACACTTGTTAGCACATCACCTCCATATAAATGATCCCCATGAATCCTTGTATGTTACATGCATATGAATACATCGAATAGGGTTATCCTAAGAAGGATACATCGAGTTTGTATTAAGTTGAGATAACATGCAACAATGCTTCCCATAAGTTGCTTCAATATATAAGGGAAACATTTTCATTTCATTTCAATACCTGAAAATAGAGGTAGAACAAGATCAAATGAAGGTAATCCTATATGATCATGTAGTATGAATCTTAACTATGCATGAGTTTGTGTTCGTCCTAATGCCCCTTATGTTATTTGCATGCTAAAGCGTTATCAAACAAATCATGGTCTAGATTACTAGAAAGCTTCCAAGAAAATTGTGTGATATTTACATAAGGGACTAATAATTAAAAACTAGCTTAGAAAAGGATTGACAACTTGGGAGTGATATGATTTCTGACTCTGAATTTGCAATATGCAAAAATAGATAGTTATTATTGGGATACATCTTTAGGCTATCAGTCGGTCTATGTAATGGAAGAGTCATAAGTAAAAGTCGATGACTATATTAACTATGATGGCGAAATACGTTGTCACATATACTGCAACTTGCCATGGTATGTTGATAAGAGATTTAATCACAAGACTCATGATTGTAAATTCCATTTCAAGGCTGTTAAATGAATTTTTATTGCTCTAACTTTACCTCTATAAGATTTTCCACTAGCAATAATTAAAGCGGAGTGACGATTTACGTCGATACAACATACTTGTTCATATAAGAACGAGTGGAGGATAATGATATTTGTATTGAACCCACAAACACTAAAAATATGTTATCGGATCTGATTATGAAAGGTATAGCACTCGAAACATTTCAGCATGTTGTCAGTATGGATTTAATGTCGGACCTAATATAATACTCCCTCCGTCCCAATATTATTGTCCACAGACAAAAAACACACAAATTAAGAAAAGCATTAATTACCACTAACTTTATATAATAAAATGACAGTTTTGTCCTTACTTTTCATTTAATGTTCCATTAAATGTTTAGTTGGTTAAGTAATAATGAGGGGGTATTTTGGTAAAAATGTTATTTATTTTTAGAAGTGGACTATTATTTTGGGACAAACCAAAAAAGAAAGATAGACTATAATTTTGGGACGGAGGGAGTATAATTCTAGCATAGTGATTTACTAGAACCTTTTATTCAAGTACTTGATTATTATTCCTCCATAATATGCAATTTGTCTATATTAATAACTTGTTCACAGTTACTTTCTAGATAGATAAAGGTATGGCATTACCACTTAACCTGACGTCATTTGGCTTAAAATAATCATAGGTTTCATATGAAGCACTAAACTTTGATCAGTGGGGTCCTATGTCTAAAAACGACATGTTAGGCTGTACTTTTCTGCATTTAGTGTTAATATGAAACAAGATGAATTTAACTAGGCCAAATAAATAATATTCACATATATACAAATAGTCATTCGACCAAGTGGGAGAATGTTGGAAAATAACAAGATGAATTTTATGTGTTGGGTACATTTATATTGTATACCATATTATTTTCCATATGAGATATTAGGTCCCTAGGATTAATTTATATAGTATGATGGACATGACATTTATCCATAACTTGAGGGGCCAATTATGTGTGGTTCAAATACTTTTCCATAAGGTGTAAATATTAAAACACACATATGAGGGGACGCACCTTTCATGGAGAGAACACAATTCTTCATTTTCCATATCCCAAATCCTCTCTATAAGAACACCATTATCGTGTGTATATTTCTCTCCATCAGAATAATCATTTAGACACCATTATGGGAAGTGAAGGAATCATAAGGCTCGTCTTCAACATCAAGAATCATAAGGCTCATATTTAACATCAATAGATGTCTCCAAGTAAGTATTCCTCAACTGATTTAGGGTTACTAATGTTTATAAATAAATTTATCTTGGATTTTGGCTATTATTCAACAACATCAACATCAGGATGTTACAAAATTTATCTAAACTGATGGCTTTATTTAAAGCGCGATAATCCACACAAAATCTCTGGTTGTCTTCTTTCTTTTTAACTAATAACATGGAGCTAGAAAAAGGATTCGTACTCAGTTGAATAATACCTGTATGCAACATTTCTCGTACTAATTTCTCGATCTCATCCTTTTTCGCAAACATATATAGGTGTGGTCGTACGCTAATCGGTGACGTCCCTTCTATGAGGGTGATGGCATGTTTGTGGCTACGGGATGGAGGAAGACCACTAGGCATATCAAAAACATCACAATAGTTTTCAACCACATCTTGGAACTCCGATGGTATATTGGGGGGGGGGGGGGTAGCCCGATAATTTTCTCGATTGAATTTAAATGTAATAAAAACCATTGCTTTCGTATTTGAGTATTTGGTTGTTAGACTTATAGGATACCAATGTTTTCGAGAAGCTTGGGTCTTCGAGTAGTGTATCTTGACGGTTTCCCTCCCATAATGTCATTCATAAATCTTGCCAGTTGACTATCATGTGCCCATCATGCGGAACCATTAATTCCTAAAATTATGTCCGAACTTCCTACTTCCAATGGAAAGAAATCTTCCACCACTTAGCAGTCTGGTATAGTGAGCATCACTCCTTTACATGTCCCGAAACTTTGATTTGTCATTCCGTTTCCTAGACAAACTGTAACATCCCAAAAATTCCAACAAATTTAACCTTTTCAAAACAACTAACCCTTTTCTATAGAAGTGTTTACAAAACCCTTGTCCCCAAAACATTGTTAAAAAATCATAATCTCTTTCAACATAGTTTTCAAAACATTTACATTATCAGAGTTTCCTAGAAATCATAAGTCCAAAACGCGAGGATGGGTACAGTCACACCTTCACTTTTTCACGATCCACTGAAAAACCTAAAACCATAACCAAAATTGTAAGCAGAAAGTTTAGTGAGTTTCACCCAAAGTACCAACACCCAAACAAGATAACATATACAAATAGCAAACAGTGTGCGTACAGAGCCTTCAACATGTGTGTACCACTCACAGAATCTTCAGCATGTCTGGACCGTTCTCCGGGCCTTCGGCTGGTACGCCCTGCTGGCCTTCAGTCTATCCGAGATGCCCTGGGTCTATTGGCCTTCAGTACTAAGCAGGTCCGCCTCAACCCAACCACACACACAACCATCTCGACATACACATAACGG